TTCATCTCTGTTTCAAAATCTTATAATTATAGGGCGTTTGCTAGTATGGGATATGTGTGTGTGAAGGGTTCCTGGGTTAAGAAACAGGAAGGTGAGGTCAAGCATGTTCAACCTGATTCCAAGACCAAAGCCTCTCTTTCCCATCACAGTCTTAGTAATCCTGACCTTGCTGAGAAATGGCTGCCATTGACAACCAGCTGACCACCATCAAAGATCTTCTTGCTGCCACTCAGTCCACTGTTGGGGACATTCATGCAATCTCCAAAGAGACAAGGTCTGATGTTTCAAAGATAAGGGTTGCAATTCTCAGAGTTAGGGAAAACGCAGTCAAGGCATTCAAGGAAGTACACGACAAGCATGATGGAGTGTCTGTCTCAGCTAATTCTAGCTTTGATCAACTGAAGGAGGCAATTTACAACACTCTTACTTATTTCTTGCGTCGTTAGTATGGAAGTTTCAAACAATTGTTTTTTGCTGTGCTGTTTTGGACTGGATAACCAGTTGTTAGATGATTGTTTTTAACTCTGCCTGCATATCATGCTACAAATTCTGCTTTAGTATCTGGTGTATTGTTGTTTTTATCCCCTCGTTGCTGATGTCAAAAAGGGGGAGAAGGCTATACATATATTCGTGCAGTTATATCCATTGCAGGGGGAGTAGATTATAGATACTACAAGAGAAGTCGACTAAAAGAAGTATTCTCAACGACACCTATTGAGGGGGAATCAACTGCACTCATTGAGGGGGAGTAAAATACAGGGAAATTAACTGATGTTTACATATATTATTTTTTTGTAATCATCAAAAAGGGGGAGATTGTTAGATTATAGTTTTAATGATGAAAAAAATAATATAATTGCTTTTGGTGTGGGGACTCAAGGAAATCAACCAAGATTGAAGTGCACACAGAGAAACAATCAAAGCTGAAGGAAGAAATCAATCAAAGATTGATTGAAGCATTCAAAAGGAAAAGAAACACTGACGATCCGGCGAGATAATCAATCCGAGATTGATTGAAGAGTTAAAAAGGAAAAGAAGCATTGAAGATCGGGCAAGATAATTAATCAGTAGCTATTACTGGAAGGACCCAGAATTAAGGAGCAAATCCGGAGCTATCAAGACTTAAAAATGGAAAGCTGTCAAAGTTCACACATCAAGGAAGAGTAACGAGGATTAACCTTATTCTTGGAAAGAATCAATTTCGTTCCAAGGATCAAATCTCTTGGGTTGGCAAATCTCTTCAGTAACGGTCTCCTACAAAGTATTTATACACAACCTTTAAGTCTTAGAGAGACATACTTTGATCAAACCAATTACCCTCTCTTTGTTCTTCTTAAAACAAACATTGTAGCTCTACTAGATCTGCTGTGTAACAAGTTAGAGAAGAAAGTGAGAAAAATACTGGTGAGGCATTATATCAAGAAAAGACGAGTGACATAAAAACTGAGCTGTTGGTGTAAACTACACCATTCACTTTATAATCAAGAAACTCAATCACTGAAAGAGAACTCTCTTGCAACCCAAGGGAACTGGACTAAGATTCACATTGAATCTGAACCAGTATAAAAACTCTGGTGTCTTTAATTCCTATACTTCACTTCTGCATTTTAATTTTGCACTTCTTATTATCTCGCTATTACATCTAGTCGACTAATTGGAAAACCAGTCAACTTATAATAATTAATTTTAAAATAAGCAATTCACCCATCCTCTTGTACATTCATGTAGGTCGTGGTTTTTAATCCCGGAGTTGGGAGTTTTCCACATAAAACTTGATGTGTCATTTACTTATCTTTGATTGTTTACGTTCTGTGGAAACTGATAGAGAATCGAGTTCTCTATACAGTTTGATGGACCCTAAGTTTCTATCAATTGGTATTAGAGCAGGTTTTTTCTATCAGGCTAACACCTAGAAAGGATTCACAGAGATGCTCCACCAAACTTTGAAGAAGGTCAATCAACCTACAGACCACCAAGATTCAATGGATAATACTACAGATAGTGGAAGACAAGGATGCATGATTTTATCATGGCTGAAGATTCAGATCTCTAGGATGTTATCTGCGATGGACCCTTCATCCCCATGAAGACCACTGGCGAACCAACAGTGACAGTTCCAAAGACAAGGAAGGAGTATAACGATGCTGACCACAAAGCTATAGAGATCGAACAAAACAAATCCTCATATGTGGTATTGGACCAAACGAGTATAATAGAATTTATGCCTCTCAATCTTCTAATGAGATCTGGGAGGCTCTCCAAACCGCACATGAAGGAACAACTCAAATCAATTAGTCAAAGATCGACATGCTCACCACTGAGTATGAACTCTTCAGGATGATGGGTCCATTCAGGACATGCACACTCGATTAACCTCCATCATCAACGAGCTTCACTCTCTAGGAGAGATCATTCCAAGGAACAAACTTGTCAGTAAAATACTTAGAGTATTACCTGGTCCTTGGAAAAGCAAAGTCAATGCTATCATAAAGGTAAAGGATCTGCAAAAGTTGACCATTGATGAACTCATTGGAAATCTGAAGACCTATGAAATGAAGAAAAAGAAGGACCAAAAAATAAGAGAAACCAAAAAGGAGAAGAACATTTGCTCAAGGTCGACAATAATAAATCAAGTGGCGAGGATGCTGACATGGCCTATCTAACAAAAAGGCTTCAGAAAATGGTTCACAAATGGAGGCATTCCAAAAAAGGGTAACTCCAGCAGACCAAACGGCTGACTTCTGTCATAAATGTGGGAAGCCAGGACATTTTATCAAAGACTGTCCTCTATAGAAGCAAGACCAGTACAAGCATAACACAGACAAAACAACCAAGAGGAACCTGGTTCCTGACAAGAGATTCAAGAGAAAAGATGTTGCTGACAATATTGTGAAGCAAACTCTTGCCGTATGGGGCGATTCTTCCAGTGCATCTGGGAAAGATGATGAACAAGGTGACACCTCCATGATGTCTATTGAAAGCAAAGCAGCTGAATATGACTCTATCTTTGCCTTGATTACAAAATCTGAGATTGAAAACATAGAGCATGAGAGACATGACGTGTTGGTGGTAGTTGTGGATCTAAAAGAAACCATTGAGGAACTAAAATGGGAATACAGTTCTGGGAACACTCAAAAGGGAAAGGAAGTTGCAAGTGAGGCACACATTAAGCTTGAAAATGAGCTAAAAATGGTGAAATCTAGTCTGTGTGTTGAACTTGAAAGAATCAGACAACTTCAGGAAGATCTAAGCAGAGTTAAGACTGACCTAGAGAAATCTCTTAAATGGACCTGGTCCTCTAATGCAATCACTGCCATGTATAAGAACACTGGGGGGAACAGACATGTAATCGGGTTCCAAAAGGAAAAGACTCAATACAATCCATATAGCAAGTACGTTACTATCCCTGATAATTGGCAGTGCACTCACTGTGGTAACATTGGACACTTTAAAGAAACCTGTAAAGCTAGATTTCAGTCCCAATCAAAAAATAAAATTTTTGTTGAAAAAGTAACTACTGCTAAAGAACCTGGTCCCTCAAATAAAAAACGTGGGATGCCTGCTTGGACAAGAGGAAGTTTGATTCACCCTTTTCCTCATTACAAGGGACCCTAACTTATTTGGGTTCCTAAGTTCAACCCATGATTTCCTTGTGCAGGGAGTAGTGAATGGAAGCAACCAAAGATGGTATATGGATAGTGGCTGCTTTAAGCATATGACTGAAAGCACCAATGATTTCCTTTCACTCAAATCCCTGCAAGAAGGAAGTGTGTTCTTTGGCAATGGCAAAAAGGGATACATTCTGGGAGTAGGAAGAGTTGGGAAGACACCCACTCATTCAATTGAGAATGTTTACTATGTGAATGGCTTGAAATTTAGCCTACTGTGTGTTTCCCAAATTTTTGACAAAGGAAACAAAGTGGACTTCTTATGAAAGACTTGCATTGTTATAAATCTTATAACTGGTGAAATGGTTTTGATGGCAAAAAGATTCAAAAATATGTATGTTGCTGATTTTGTGTTTTTGAACAATGAGGATCTTACATGCTTGAGTGCTGTTGATGATGATGCTGACCTGTGTCATAGAAGATTGGGACATGTAAGCTTTTCGTTTCTAAACAAGCTGGTCAAGAAGGACCCGGTTCATGGGCTGCTTAAGTCAAGGTTCAAAGATCATAGGGTGTATGATGCATATGTAAGAGGAAAGCAAGTGAGGTCCTCCTTTAATCCCAAAAAGGAAGTAAGCACCTCAAGGCCACTTGATCTCCTCCATATGGATCTGTGTGGACCTATGAGGGTGCCAAGTAGAGGAGGAAAGAAGTACATTTTCGTCATAGTTGATGAATACTCCAGATTCACATGGACCTTGTTCCTCAGAACCAAGGATGAAAGAAACGTTTCCAGTTTTTGCTGCCTTTGTGAAGCAGGTTCAAGTGAATATGAGCCATATGTTATGAGTATAAGATATGATCACGGCACAATGTTTGATAATGTAAAGTTCAATGAATTTTGTGCTGAAAATGGTATAAGTCACAATTTTCAGCTCCTAGAACACCCCAACAAAATGGTGTTATGCAGAGGAAAAATAAGACTCTTGAAGATATGGCAAAGGACTATGCTGATTGACAGTGGTATTGCAAATGTTTTTAGGCGGAGGCAGTCAACACTGCTTGCTAATTGGTGAACAGGTGCATGATCAGGTTCCTCTTGAACAAAACCTCGTATGAATTGCTGAACGGGAGAAAACCCAAGCTAACTCACTTGGGAATATTTGGCTGCAAGTGTTTTGTTCTAAATAATGGTAAGGAAGCATTGGAGAAATTTGATGCCAAGAGTGATGAAGGTATCTTTCTGGATATTTCTCACAAAGCAAAGCATACAAGGTCTACAACAAAAGGATTCAATATGTTGAAGAAAGCATACATGTAATATTTGATGAATCACACCACTTATGTGGGAACGTTTCATACGATAAGATTGATCAAGACACAGAGTAGTCAATGGTTTATAAAGAACTCATTGATATGGAAAATGTAAAGGGTGACATGATGAGTCAAGTCAAGGAATCAAACGAAGAAGATGCAGCAGAATCTCCAACTGATACAGAAGAACCTGGTTCCTCTATCATAACAACTGAAGCAGATAATATAGTTGTTAATGCCGTGCAAGGAACTCCTGATGCTGAGCTAAGAAGCGGTACTCACTCCTCAATTGATGCAAACAATAAATCCCATTCAGAGAAACTTTTGTCTTCTCACAATGAGATTCAGGTGTCTAACTGGAAGCACAAAAGTTCAAATCCTCTCCAAGGTGTGATCACTCCTCTTGATTCAGGAATTCAAACCAGATCAAAGACAAGAAGCTCTCTTGCCTTCTCACCTTTCCTTTCTTAAATTGAGCCCAAGAATATCAAGGAGGCATTGAAAGATGCTGACTGGATTACTGCTATACAAGATGAACTCTATCAATTTGAGAGGAACCGCGTATGGCACCTAGTTCCTCGACCCTCAGATAGAACTGTTATAGGAACCGGGTGGGTGTTCAAAAACAAACTTGATGAGTTTGGGAATACAACAAGGAACAAAGCCAGGTTAGTAGTGCAAGGCTACAATCAAGAAGAAGGGATCAACTAGGATGAGACCTTTGCCCCAGTTTCTCGAATGGAAGCCATCAGAATCCTCATTGCCTTTGCATCTCATATGGAATTCAAATTGTTCCTAATGGATGTCAAAAGTGCATTTATGAATGGATATTAAAAGGAAGAAGTCTTCGTCAAACAACCACCTGGTTTTAAGTGTCATGAGCATCCTGAACATATATTCAAACTTGACAAGGCATTATATGAGATGAAACAGGCTCCTCATGCCTGGTATGAAAGGTTGTCTAAATTCCTTCTTGAAAATGGCTTTACAAGAGGAAAAATCGACAACACCCTATTTCTGAAGAAACGGGGGAGGAACTTACTTATTGTGCAAGTTTATGTTGACGACATCATCTTTGGTGAAACAAATGATTCCTTTTGTGAGGAGTTTGCCAAGCTTATGTGAAGCGAGATTAAAATGAGCATGATGGGGGAACTGAATTTTTTCTCAGGCTTACAAGTTAAGAAAACCTCTATGGTAACGATGATAAGCCAGCAAAAGTACATTAAAGAACTTCTGAAGAGATTTGAAATGGAAAGTTCAAAAACCATTGATACTCCCATTGCCATTGCCACTCATCTGGATATGGATGAGGCTGGTACTCATGTGAATGAAACCATGTACAGAGGTATCATTGGTTCACTCTTGTATCTCACATCCAACAGACCTGATATTGTATTCAGTATGGGGTTATGTACTAGATTCCAATCAAGTCCAAAAGAACCTCATTTGAAAGCTGCCAAGAGTATTCTAAGGTATGTCAAAGGAACACAGGACACGGTTCTCTACTATCCTTCAGGAGATAACTTTGACTTAATTGGGTATGCTGATGCTGATTATGCTGGGTATTTGCTGGATAGAAAGAGCACATCTGGCATGGCACATTTTCTAGGGTCATATTTGATTTCATGGGGTACAAAGAAACAAAACTCTGTGGCGCTTTCAATTGCAGAAGCTGAGTATGTGGCAACTGCCTCTTGATGTGCTCAACTGCTGTGGATCAAGCAACAACTGGAGGATTTTGGTGTATTTTCTGATTGTGTGCCATTACTGTGTGATAAAACTAGTGCTCTCAACATGGCAAAGAAACCGGTTCAGCATAAGAGAACAAAGCACATTGATGTGCGGCATCATTTTCTCAGAGATAATGTTGAAAAAGGTCTTACCTGCACGAAGTTCTGCAAAATAGAGGACCTAGTAGCATATATATGTTTACCAAAGCACTGAGCAAAGAGCACTTTGAAAAATATCGACTAGCATTTGGGTTGATAAAATCAAACTGAGCACCAGGTCCCTCAATGATTGGCTATGAAAGAATGAACAGGTAAAACTTCTAAAAAGTGTCTTCTGGCAATTTCTTACTGATCTCTATATCGTTACAGGTTAACACGCATGGCAACTACAGAGCAAACAAGCAGCTAATGATGTTGTATCTTGGTAAAAGGATGAGGCTCACATTTACAAAACTAAGTCAGGGAACCCGGGTCCTTTGACTCAGGTTAATAGTTCCTTTTTACTCTCATGCACATTGTAAACAAGTATAAAAGTGCCACGTCATTAAATGTTTCCGTCTCTCTCTCTCATCTCTTTAAAACTTAAATGTCACACCCATTATAAACCGACACGTCTACGCAATAATTTACACACGTTTGTAACAGATCCCTCACCCTCTCTAAATAACCCCAAAAGACGTCTCTTTCCTATATATCCCCATCAAAGCCAAACATTTCCTTTCTCTCTCAAAACAAACCTTCTCTTTCTTATGTCTTTAATTCCAACCTCCACAATGTCTCAACATCCAGAAATTTCAAACACTTCTAGAGTTGTCCCTACTATGTCTTCGTCTCACGAAGCACTAGAGCGAGAGTCTGAGTCCCAACCATTACCCAGTTAAAATCCCATACCAGACAAACAACCACCTACTACTTCTTTTCCAACCCCATCGAGTTCTGGTTCTCGCAGAAGTCGTAAGACCTAAATTCCCAAAAGATTTGTTGATGCAACCTCTACTTCTGCCTCACCGAAAAAAATGGCAGACAACAAAACAGTAGACGGAGAAAAGGGGCAAGAAGTCTCGAATCAGCAGGTTGGGGAAATTTATGAAGCCAAACAAGATGTTGTTGGCAGTGGTGAAATATCAGAAGTGCCCGCTCCAAGTTTTGATCTGAATATTGCTACTCCGACAGGTAATGTTCCTCTTGCATCTTCTGATTCTATTCTGGGTGTAAATGAGAGAGAAACAATAGAGATATGCTTTTGATTGCTGCTAAGGGAGGTTTGGTTGGAGCGTATGAGGGTGGTGATGTGACCAATGGGTCTCAAGGTGAATGTGAAGGGCCTAGAGTTGAAGGTGGGGAACTGGTACCTCTTGAAAACTTGGCACCAGTCAGTACTACGAGGGAAACAACATAGGGACCCGATCCCTGTGCCCAAGAAGAGCACTCTGCTCCCACTTGGGATAAAACCCCATGATCCTCAAAAGAGCCCCAAGTCAGTACTGATCTCTCTCCTTCTCCTCACTTTGATGCAATGCCACTGGACTTTATTATTACTGAGATGAGACCCCTTTCTGAAGAGGAAGATGACAATAGTAAGAAAGACTATGATAATGTGACTGTAGCAAGCTTCTTTGCTACTAGAAGTGGTAGGGCAGTTCATAAAGATCCCATTCATAAAAGACCCACTACCAAGCTGTAAAAGAAGGAAGCCTTTGAGACTGTTCTGAAGAAAAACAAAGAAGAGAAGAAAAGAATGAGGTTGGTGAAAGGGGGAAAGCTAGTAAATAAGGAGGAGGTACCTCCAGCAAATGTTGTTCATGTTGATGATGAAGGGGTGAATGAGGAACCTGCTTCGTTAATTCGAAAATCCTCTAAGAAACCTATGATTCCAAAGCCTAGGAGAGGCTCATCAGTGAAAGCTGTAGAGGAAGTGAAAAGTGTTGAGGGCGAGAAGTGTAGTGAACAATCCAATAAGAAGTCTGAAAAGAAGTAGACAAATGTGAGGAAGTTTGTGAAGAGGAAGGCTGGTGACAAAGGATGCAGGCAGAGCAAATCTTAGGAAGTAGAGGGTGCTATGGGGCAGAACTTTTGAAACTAACATTCTTGATATGCCAGGGATGGGACAACTCTTTGACATTTGTGAGTTTCAAAAGTGGACACATTTGTTCACTAATGAGAGTCTTAAGGCGTATGAGGAAGAGGTTCGTAGCTTATGCGGAGATATGTTTATAGTGGAGGATGATAACATTTGCTTGAAGGTCAATGGCGTAGATTTTGTGATGGACGGGGTTGTTCTAGGGAGCATTTTGGGAGTGCCTACTGAAGGGCTCTCATCCATTAGAGGGACCTGTTTGCATACCTTCAGAAGATCCATTATGAAGGATGATGCTGTGCAGCAGAGGGAACGGGTTCACAAGAAGGCCCTCCTTCCAGTGTATCAACAGGTCTTTCTTCCATGCACAAAGAGATGTTCTATTACTTCAAAAGCAAACCTGTTCCTCATGGAAGTACTGGATGCCTACACCATCATCAATCTTCCTGGTCTTATAATTAAACATATGATGAAAGTGGCAGACTTCAAGGACGGCAATCATGGCTTGACTTATGGGTTCTTACTCACTAAGGTGTTTAACTTCCTCAAAGTCCCTTTGGGAAGAGCAACAGTGGGAACTCACAAGCAAACCTTCTCAAAGACAAACTTGGAGGAATGTGAGTGTATTGACAAGAAAGGGGTGTGGGCAACAATTCCACTATTTCTCAATTGATTGATGCTTAGAATGCTGCAAATGAGGAGATAAGGAGGTTGAAGGCACGTAATGCCATTCTTAAAGGGCAGCCTAGTAAGGCCAAGGAAGCACCTGGTTCTAGTAGTGCACAAGGCACATATGTTGCTTTCCTGACCATAGAAAATGCAGATCTCAGGAAATAGGACGAGGACTTGAAAGAGCGGCTGATTAACGAGCAAATGTCTTCAAATGCTCAAATGGACATTCTCCTCAAAACCCTTTCCTCCTCATCCCTACCTCCCTCTTCCAGTGCCCCTTAAAACAGTTCCCTTCCTAGTATCCTGTTGTATTATGTCTGTCCTAACCTTTTTTGTTTGGTGTCCCTATGGCTGGTACTTTAAGTTGTTTTTTTGTGGATGTTTGTGTAACAATGGTACTACTATATCTTTTCATTTTTTTCTTAAATTAATGAGTATCTCATCTTTTACTATGCATGTTATACTCTTGAGCTCTGTTTTTTGCCATGTTGTGTGCACACATGTGGCATGAGTTAACTTTGCTAGACTTCTTTTTGCCTTTACTTGTGTATAGTCATTTTATGATGCCAAAAAATGGAAGAAATTTGATGCTTGAGAGGGGAAACACGTTCTCAGGGGAAATAAAAGTCTTTTTGCAGGGAATTTTGTATAGAGATCTGGTTCTCAGGGAGAACTTCAATTATAAGTTTGTCATAATCAAAAAGCTAGAAATTGATAAGTTATATGCCTTTTTCATTTTGATGATAAGAAGCAGATTGAGAACCTGTTACACATCCTCAAAGTGCTCAAGAACAACAAGTCTCAAGTCTGGCACAAGTTCCAACAACTTGATTCAAAGAAATTACAGAGGGAGCAGATAGACATCAGTTCCCTTGGTGACAGTACAAGTCAACTCTCCACAGTTGTAAAGTCACTGCACTGTTTCTCTGCACACACCCAACAGTACAAACAGTGCATCGGTCACTTTATGGAGCATGCCTTGTACCAGATAATTAATGGCATCATCCAAGTGACCTCACTTGTATATTACCAACATAAATCAAGTGAAAAAGACACACTCGAACAATCCGAAATTATCAAGTTTCTCTCTCAATTGTGCTGCCGATATTGAGTGACTTCAAAACGTCAAGAATAAAGCAACAACAGAACGAAGGACCAATTTCCACCACTGTGTTACCATATGTCCTTAGTTTTGTTGTACCTTTGTTAGAGTGATCTACTTGTAATTCCTACTTAGCTTAGCTAGAAACATAGTATAGGAAACCATCTGCAAAATCATAAACCTTGTGTTTGTATCTTGGATAGAGTTAGTCGTGTTGTGAGCTTTGTAATAGAGTTATTAAAAAGAGGCTTGTAATATAGTTATTACAAGTAGGTGAGGGATTAAGAGGTTAATTCCTAGGTTAAAATAGTTTGTAGTCTGAAGTTTGCTCAGTTAGTGAAGTTGAAATCCTACTAGTGTAGGTTGTGGTTTTTAATCCCGTGAGCTGGGAGTTTTCCACGTAAAACTTGTTGTGTCATTTACTTATCTTTGATTGTGTGCATTCCGTGGGAACTGATAGAGAATCAGGTTCTCTATACAGTTTGGTGGACCTAAGTTTCTATCAATTGGTATAAGAGCAGGTTCTTTCTATCAGGCTAAC